TTTATTTTTTGTGGGTCATTTTTTGTTTCACTCTTATTAATGAAATATTTGATTTTATTTCAGAGAGAATGAGTTAAAAGAAATGATATTAAGAGTCCAGTGATGGGTCGTGTGTGGTGGCTCATGCCTATAATCCCAGCACTTTGGGAGGCCAAGGCGGGTGGATCACCTGAGGTCAGGAGATTGAGACAAGCCTGGTCAACATGGTGAAACCCATCTTTACTAAAAATACAAAATTAGCTGGGCGTGGTGGTGAGCACCTGTAATCCCAGCTACTTGGGAGGCTGAGGCAGAGAATTGCTTGGACCCGGGAGTTGGAGGTTGCAGTGAGCCTAGATCGTGCCACTGCACTCTGGAATGGGAGGCAGAACAAGGCTTCATCTCAGAAAAAAAAAAAGTCCAGGGATATATTTGTCAAATCTTTATTCAAGACGTTTTAATTCCAGATGTTATTACCTTTTCTTTTCTTTCTTTTTTTTTTTTTTTTTTGCTAATAGTTTTCTGGTTTCAAAAGCATAGTTAAAACTATACTTGTGGAAGACAATGAAAGATAAAATATGCATCTGGGGTCATCTATTTGTTTATTTTAGTAAGGGCTGACAGAGCTCACCGATCACAGATTTTTAAAATAATAGGTGACAGTTCTATCAAGGTCAGCCCTTTTTCTTTCTGACTGTCTCTTCTTCCTTAGGCTACACCCCGATGGCCCAGGGAAGGCTCATTTTAGGGCTGAGGGGTGGCTGTTTGGACACTGCTCCCCTCTCTTCCCACATGACCCCTACAATCATTGCTTCCACGCTTTCTCGGGGCCCGGAGGCAGACCCAGCTTCCATGCATCTACATACCTTGCAGACAGGAAAATAGAGGAAAATGAATAAAACAGAGGACCATTAGATCTGAGCTCCAGAGAGGAGCATAGCTTCGGGCAGTCTGGCTTCTCCTCCACTTCCCCGTACTCCGAGGCCTCCTAACATTTAACAGATTATACAGTTGACATACACAAAGTGGAGTTACCCACAGAAAATTCCACATCTGGATTTCATTATTTAAGTTTTAAAACACTTTTCTTAGAAAATATAAGGGCATTTATGTAATTATGATTTGAAGGCCTCAGCCTGGGTTTTCTGTTTGACAGGCAGTGTGTCTTAAATAGCTCTGCTGTTGACATATTAGTCCCCTGCTCTGCTGATATTTTCTCTTTCTCTCTGCTTTCATTCCTCCTTGCTGCTACCAACATACAGATGTTTAGAATTTCCAATTCCCAATTCAATCTCTGAAATGCATTTCTCCTTCTTCTGTCACATCGCAGTGTGTGTGGAGTTGGGGTGAATTGAGAGTACATAGGTTTGTAGGAAGAAATCTTTTCCTTCTTTTTTTTTAAGACAGAGTCTTGCTCTGTCGCCAGGCAGGAGTGCAGTTGTGCGATCTCAGCTCACTGCAACCTCTGCCTCCCAGGTTCAAGCGATTCTCCTGCCTCAGCCTCCTGAGTAGCTGGGACTACAGGCATGCACCACCATACCTAGCTAATTTATTTATTTATTTATTGTTAGTAGAGACAGGGTTTTACCATACTGGCCAGGATGATCTTGATCTCTTGACCTTGTGATCTGCCTGCCTCGGCCTCTCAAAGGGCTGGGATTATAGGCATGAGCCACCATGCCCCGCCAAAATCCCTTCCTTCTACCTCTGTTAAGGCACTGCTTAGTCAAAGCTCCCTCCCAGGATTCTCATCACCCTCTCTATTATAGATAACAATGCCAAAGGGAAGAGGAGGCAATTCCATCTTGTTACAACTGTAAGAGTCCTGGTCATGTGCAGTGAAGTAAGCCTGTAATTCCAGCACCTTGGGAGGCCGAGGTGGGAGGATTACTTGAGCCCAGGAGTTCAATACCAGCCTGGGAAACATAGTGGGATTGCTTTTCTCCCAAAAAAAAAAAAAAAAAAAATTAATTACAAGGAGGCTGAAGCAGGAGAACTCCTTGAGCCCAGGAGTTTGAGGTTGCAGTGAGATGTGATCACAGCACTACACTCCAGCTTGGGTAACAGAGTGAGACCCTGCTTCAGAAAAAAAAAAAAATCCAAAGCTGATCTTCTGCCTTCCCTTCTTTTCAGCAGCAACAAAGGAGCAAGGAAAGGGACAAAAAGAAACACATGACATCTTGCAGGCACTCCTCATCACAACACTTGGAAGTCCCAGGGAGGCCCCCATAATGGGACTGTTGCCTCTGTCACCTCAGATTTCATCAATCCTCTGTCATTGATTTGGAACCCAAGAATTCATCTCTCCTTTGCTGCACAGCCTATTCTGGGAGGGCCTAGATCCGGAATCACAACTGGAAACCTAGGGAAATGAAGGGAAGAGTCTTCCTGCACACACAACAGCAGGGAAGGTGGGCAGTCTTGGGGATGGGGGTATGGGACACATACATCTGCTTATCTGTACTTCTCCATGGCAACTATGTTATACAGGAACATCTGGTTTTGTGGTAGTTTAGGGGATCATCTTACTACATATAAGTGATGGGCTGAATAGCTCTTGTGTAGTTTGATTTGGGAACATAGCCGATATGTATATTATTTTTACAGAGTTCCAAAAACCAGTATACAAAATAACTTTTGGAAAAGTCCCATTTACAATTTAGATACTGCCTGTATTTGGAAAAGTTAAGAACTTTTAAACAGATGGCATAAGAACAGTATTTACTTTGACAATTCCGATGGCAAAAAAAATTGTCAAAAGAACACCGAGCATTGCTCTTTCACAACAAAGGAAAAAAAGTCAAACAATATGACAGGCTGTAGGAGACTGAAAATTATAGAATATTGTCCAGCCTGTAGAGGGGTGAAAAGACAATTAGATGACAATATTTTATGTAAAATTTTAAAAAAAGAGAAACATCCAGAAAATAAATGATGAATTGTCAAATGAATGGTACAATGCTTTGTGGTCAGAAGTCCCTGTTAGCAGGCAGTCTCTGGCAGTACAGGGAAAGTCTCTACTTCTGCCTTGTATTAGTCACACTCTTCTCTGCCTGCCCCAAACTATGAAGACATCTGAAGGCCAATTGATCTTGATTTTTCTCATGGTTTAAGGTTGAATTTCATAAGCAGAACAAAATGTTTTTTAAGTTTGAATTGATTTTTTAAATTAACCTAAACTTGTTATAATTTCTATACAGAAATTTTCTGCAGGCTGATATTCAGAATTACCCAAATTATATATTCTAATAGGTAAGGAATGTGTGTGTGTGTGTGTGTGTGTGTGTGTGTGTGCGCGCGCACGTGTGCCTCATACTCTCTCTATATATGGTTCCTAAACTTGGTTACTTTAACCT